TCGGGAAGAGTGTAAAAAGAGAGAATTTCACACAGTTAGTACGGCAGCACTGATGTTTGAAGAGCAGTGAGTCCATCTTCCTTGTGTTGGGCTGTGGGAGAAAGTGTGACGGGATATCTATATATTTGTAGAGGCAATTGATGACAAATGAGACAATTAAGTATAGGAGACGGTTGTAAAGAGGGGAAAGATTAAGTTTAGATAAGCGTTGTTCATAAGAAAGGGAGTTGGCAGTATTGAAGGGGAGGCAAGATTTCGTGAAGCGCCGTTGTATTGTCTCAATATTCTATGAAAGTACTCAGCACATACTTTAATAATCTGATGTTTTATTTCAAAAGGAGAAAGAAATGCCTGTGGGCATACTCAGATTAGAATGAAGCTAAATCGGTTTCCAAATCAAGGCCAGCCACACCCATGGAAAATGGCATATTTTGGCTACTACGTTCAGTCGGCAATGGTCTTTATGTCATCTTTAAGACAATGTGTACCCTGCAGGCATGACATATTGTATGTTTTTATTGTTTGATCTGAAAGAGCAACCTACTAGGAATACTTGATTTTGGATAAAGCTAAATCGGTTGACAAATCAAGGCCAGCCATTGACGGCCGCGGTCGGCGGTATAAACTTGAAGAAATCTGGACCTCCCGTTCTTGTATGCCAAAATGCGGCTGAGCTGGAGGCTGAGTTCGAGGCTGGAAAATCGGGCCTAGATGGCGCGGCTAACTTCAGGTTGGTGATTCCTTCATCGGGTCTGGTATCCAGACTGTGCGGCGAGCGAAAATCATGGCGAGATTACACGAATACACATGGGGGGGGATACATGTATATGTATATTCGCGCCTACGCGATTCTATGGATAGACACGACTTCACAACGCGAATGTAAACGGTGTCGGCGCGGCACTCGTACTCATCACTGGTCTAGTCGACTCACTTGTTCACGTATACATGTACTTCGCAGCTTCGCCCACCACCTCACAATCGTTAAACCATGGTGAGTAATTTTCTGTCTATGATAGTAAAAATAATGTTTGCAATTGGGTGAAATTTACTTGTGCATTTTCAATTACCAATTACGGTTTGTATCGTTATATTTCTCAGGCAAGTTTAGACGATACAGAGGATGTGGCTCTGGATTTCGGTTCAGAAGATGATTGGAGGAGAAAACGAGCAATTAGGTAAATGTTTAATGCTATATGGAAAGCTTTCACCATTACCTAGCTTCGAATCCGATAATGTATGTACTTGGGTATCCAACTGTCATGACTGTCGCTGTGCTTTAATTTTTTGGTTTAATAGCCAGTTGAAAAGTGTAATAAAATAAATAACCGTCATGACCATGACTACCCCCAGAACTGCGGGGTCCAACGTCTGCCCCGCTCCCTCATGGGGGGGGGGGTGTTGGTCACTTCACCCCATTATCATTTTGCCCCATTCCACTTCACCCCATGCCCACTTTGCCCCATTTCCACTGCGCCCCACCAATTATTGTTCACTCTATTCTTTAGTGTTTAGTAACAGAGGTAGCTCTAATACATTTGTAAGTGGAGCGCTAGTATTCCTCTTTTTCGATTTTGGACGGGATCGTCATACTAACGCTCCATGCCTGTACATATAGTAAGGTTGAAACGATTCTCAAAAATTCCAAATAATCGCCAAAAATACCTCTATCACCACCTGCTGGCTTCCGTAAATGCCAACGTCAAACGGTTGAAGCTTCAATGATATTTCTGACTTCAAAATCTGTCAAAATCCGACCGTTTTCGCTCGACACTCGCACAGCACTTAAACTTTTTGCCACCTGTTCCTTTCAAATGCGCGTATCGAGATTTAGAATACGCAAGAACTCTATGGGCTAAACATGGTCCTCCCAGAAACATGCATGAGTGGCCTATACGGGGTCTGGGCACAAGACTTGTTGATCGTGATGGTTGGGAGTGCTACCAACGACTGTTTTCTCTATAGGCAAACATGGTCCACTAACAAAACCATAGGAGAGGCCCAAATGAAGTCGGAGCACAAGAGGTATTGACCAGGAAAAAGTGTTTTCTGAGTAGGCCTAAATGCTTTATGGGGACATTGGGGAGTTTTGTAAAATGGCGGGTAGCAACCGATGGAAGCAATTGTAAAGAACACGTGCGTACAAACTGATCAAAGGAATGATTGTGCATTCCAATCCTCTGACTGGCTGGTGCACAGGTGTATGCAATGTTGCCATGGTTGCTGTTTTCATCGGTTACTACACGCCATTTTGTGAGATTCCCGGATGTCTGCGCTGCCCCATTGTTTTCACTACTAAATTTGACTTTTCTGGGCATTTATAACATCAGAATAAATCTGGAGAACTCAAACTTTGTTTTTCAGTGAAAGTCATTACTCTGTGTGACTTTGAATGGGGTCGTAATGCTATGTTTTTTTACTGAACTTTTGAGGTAGGCCTATATCGTGGAGTACCCTAAATTCGCGCATCCAAATATTTGCACAGACTTTACAGTACTTTACAGACTAAATACGAAAATGAATCAGTTGAAACTGTCTAGAAAATGGATAAATGATCGCTGTTTGCTCACAGTCAGTGTTGGACATCCGGTACAGGCACTAATGACGAGTTCGATCAACTTTCGCCAAAATAAGAGCGCTATCAAAAATACTGAGCCTGAAAACAACTGTGCACCTTATATTTTGAGATTTCCAATGCCGACGATAGGCATGGATTTGGCGGCACTGTATTTTGTGACTTTTTTCCAGAAATACACATAGAAAGAGAATTTATCATAATATCCAGATCAATTGGTCATATTAATGCTAATAATAATTTAAACGAAAGAATAAAAATTCATGCCTCACTGTACATATGAAGCAAGATATGAAATGGAAAGGAACCCCCTGCTTTGTATTGGTCATTGTTTCACTGGAATCTGAGGAATTCTTTTCAGGCACGTAGGGGGACATATTAGGTACAGTAACAATACACTAGAGTGTGTATAGTGATTGGACATGTTGGTGGAACTTGGGGGTACCCCTCAGTCTCATTTTTTCAGTCTCATCTCTTAAATTTGTTAACTGTAGCTATTACGAGGCTCAGTAGAATCAGTGTCACAGCAGCAATGCATAATGTTACTCTTACCCAACCCAGTCCTCCTGTCACTCTTTGATGATCGAAACAAGGTGACGTTTGGACATGAGAATACCCTCCTTGTCAATACGAATCTATTGCAACTCTGGATTTGTAAGACATTAACTGTTCATTTGTAATGAATCTACAGTAATTGTTTTTTAACAATTGCTGTAGTATCGTAAAAATAATCTACACTTTTAACAAAGCAATGATGTCACAGAAATACTATAAGGTGAATTAAAATGTTTTTTTCTCAAACTCCATCACCAAACTAAAGTAATTAATGTGAAAAATAATTCCTCATTCAAAAGATGTTAACTGGCAGACTTTTCAGAAGTACATGTAGGGCATGACCGATGCCCGGTAAAATGATGTTTGCCATGTACGTGCATGAATTATGGTGACATAACCAATTTGAGTCATTTGGAGATATTGTTCCTGTTGCTTCTGTGACATCCGATGTTCTTCCTAATGTTATTTCACGTAGGATTTTAGTAAAACTTTTAACTAGCGAGAATAAGGCCATAAAACATGTAGTGTATAGGGAACAAATTTTGGTCTGAACTACTAATTGCACAAATTATGGTTACTCATGGATAAATGATCCAACAGATCAAATTCCACTTTTTCAATCAAATTTTTCTTTGAAAGCAAACTTTAGGTGCCTGTAGTTCTTAAAAAGGGTGTAACAAGAGTTTCAGTTTTTTTTAAAAACTAACAATTTTACTCACCAATCGCTCACTTCCACCTGACAATGATCACACCGTTAATGCCATACATGTATGTGTTTCACACACTGCACATGCATTGGGCCCACCAATGGCCAAGCTTGCTCTGCATCTCGGTTCTACCATATTTGGAAGTGAGGAATTTCTAAGATCATGCAATCTTGTCACAGCTACACAGCATAGCCCACACAGTAAAGATGGTCACACAATGAAAACAGTATGCCACCCCCTGTAAACTACTGGTACAAACTAAACTACATTGGCTCAAAGTCACATGAAACAGTGGCATTTGCAGTTTAGGCCTATTGTATACATGCATGTATATGGCCTTCAGACTGATACCTTTACACGCTTGATAATGGATTGATAAAGGGTGATTTCTGATTTGTCACATATAAATCAAACATTTTGTGGATTTTTGCTGACACAGAATGTTGCACCAAACAAATGGCTTTGGAATAACACTATTGTGGCTGACTGAAAAGTGTGTTGCCATAGACATGTAGAATATACAATGAAGAGAGCAAAGGAAGCATGATCACGTCCACTAGAATAATGTTGACAGGACATTGTTACGAAGTCACTTCAAATGTCCGAAGACGACATAACAGACTAAAGTAAAGTAACGGAAATGGGAATGGAACACTGATAGATAAGAATCGGAATCAAGCAGTTTAGCACAAACAAATTATAATTACTTTAATAATTAACTGAACAAGACAGGCACTTCAAGCTAAATGAACCATGGAGAAAGAACAGAATTATTCATTATAAGTTAGGTAAATAATAATGGAGTTGGCCGTAGTGAGAGGGGAGGCACCTCCACGAGTGGCATCCAGATTTTGAGTTTGCCAGAGATGAACAGTTCAGAGCCGCGAGAGTTCTTTGTCTCCGACAGCCAATGCTGTGGATGAATGTCATGTCTGGTAGTAGCTCATGGACTGGTGGATAGGATACGGACGAAGGGCGTGGTACAGGTGGGATTGATGCTATTCCACCTCTTGATACCACACAGACAGAGAGACGCCACTAGGTACAGCACGGCCTACATGTAGGATGGGACGGCCGGTCCGCAGGCACTTGTGAAGCCTGACAGTTGGGAAACTCAGTATCGCCAGTGGACAGTGTGTCTCGTCCATGCCCCAGCAGATTGGAGGTTAGAATCCGATAAAGGACGAAATTCCTCCGCTTATAAGATGGAAAGGAAATTCCAATGTCCATTCCACTGGTCAGGAATATGGTTGGACCTCAGCACAGAACAAACGCTAATGCTGGTCGAAGTACAAGGACAGTGACTGGACTCCACTTGTTTACATAACTCTGGGAAACTCTTAAATTAATAGAAGAGATAAACATAATTACCGCGGTGGATGACAAATACAGGAAAAAAGATAATCGATGACTCGCGGTGTCGTGTTGCTGGTAGCGACGTTTCGGCTGTTGGTGCTACTACATGTAGCCTTCATCAGGTAACTGAAGTCTGGATGCTGCAGAGTCCGCTATATACCGCCGTGTATTGCGGACGTAGTACGGGTGACCTCAGCGGCAGCCCGACGGCAGCCTGACCACCACCGTGTATCGCAAGCCTACCCACACCGACCAGTACCTGGCCTTTGACTCACACCACCTAGTGTCCGTCAAGAGGGGCGTGGCCAAGTGCCTACATGACTGCGCCTCACGCCTAGTCACCAGACCGCACCACACAGCCGCCGAGAGACGCCGAGTCACCGCTGCCCTCACGGCGAACGCGAACAGCGTCCTTCATACTGCAGTCATCAAGACCAAAGACCAGCACCGAAGTGGAGCGACTGGAGTACAAGGCTTTCATCGTTCTTCTCTTTGTGGACAGTATCTCCAGACAGATGAAGAGGATCCTGGAGGACCACGGCGTCCGCACCGTGTTCCGATCATCCACCACCTTGAGGAACCAACTCGTGCGTCCTAAGGATCCCATCCCACCCGGAAGACGGGGAGGAGTGGTCTACAGGATACCATGCGGTGACTGTGACAAGGTATACAAATCGACAAAACTGGCAGACCAATCGGCAAGAGAATCAAGGAGCACCAGCGCGACGTGAGACTCTCCCGTGTGGAGTTGTCAGCAGTAGCCGAGCACACCTGGGGAGCTGGTCACACCCCAGTTGGGACGGCATGCAGTGCGTGGACCAAGACCAGCATTGGTACACAACACACGTCAAGGAGGCCATCCACATTCACCTGAAAGGACACAGCATCAACAGGGACAGCGGCATCGACATCCCCGGGTTCTGGCTCCCCACCATCCGCCAACACAACCACCGGAGCACCGGAGCGCAATGGAGCCACACCGAGGACACGCCCCCTCACGCCCATGGAGTGGAGCGTGCGATGCCCGCTGAGGTCACCCGTACTATGTCCGCAATACACGGCGGGGGGCACATGGTCCAGCGGTATTTTGCGGACTCTGCAGCATCCAGACTTCAGTTGCCTGATGAAGGCTAGCAGCACCAGCAGCCGAAACGTCGCTACCAGCAACACGACGCCGCGAGTCATCGATTATCTTTTTTCCTGTAACTCTAAATTACTTATTTTCTTTAGGAATGCATGACAACATGACGTGTATGGTTGTTGAATGGCAATCAGCCAGCAATAAAACACTAAGAAAATTCATTTTGTGGAAAAGAAATATTCAGTTCTCTAGTCTTTTGGGGAAGCATACATGTACATTACCCATTTCAAATGCAGTTCTGAACAGACCCTGTGCCTTGCAGATGTGTTTAACCCTCCAAAACTGTAGAAAAATCAGTAGACTCACAATGTTTTATTGCACCATCCATAAAGAAGCTGCTGCTGCTGCTGAAATCCCTATATCACCCAAGTAGAAAGATCTCAAAGAAATGGAATAACCTGCAATGCTGCACTCAAAGAAAGTTGCTCTACATGCTCTACATTGTACCTGTAATCCAACAAACATCATCATCCCAATTCAACCACTACCTGCCGGGGACTCCGAAATCGGAGCCGTATGGTTTATATGCGTGGCCGGGTTCTCCGAACTCTGACAAAGGAAACAGAGCCCTGTAACAAAAGATCGTACTCCGAATAAAAGACCAGGCTGCTGGGCATTACTGGCATTTTTCACTCTCAAAAGTGGTGATAATCTAGCGTTGTTTTGAAACCGTATACCGGGGTTTGGGGCATTGAGAGCGAGCAGATTACCACCGGGGACAAAAGCGCTCCACCACCGCAGCGATGAGCCACACAGCACCGCTGCATGCTAATCTGGCCCCTATTGAAAAGAGGTCAGCAGTGCACTGAGCCCAGTTCGCGAACAAAAGACAGTTATACAACACCGCACAATCTNATTTAGAGTAGTGCCTAAAGATTACAATCGTTAAATGAAACGATGAATTTTTGAAGGATTTTGAAAACGGGAAAAATGATAGTCATGCCGGCCCAGCATCATCAACATTGAAAAATGCCCCGGCATGAAGTGGTTAAGACAGCCCTAGGAAAATATTTCTTAACTTCAGCACTGGCATGTCGTCACACTCGATGATGATGCCTAATGGCGATATCCAGTAAACAATCTGAGATTCTGAGAATTCTGTGCTTAAAAAACACAAACGTTACACATCCAGTGATCAGAAGACAGCTGCTGCTTGAGTAGTGATAATTCAACAAAAGATTTTGAAGCAGGTTACCTCATCATGTGATAGTCTACTTAGCTCATTATGAGAGTACTTGTAACTCAGGGTTTCAGCTGGAAAACTTCAATAGCCAAGGTTGTAGCCACATGTTTGACTTTATAGCCATTCTACAAATTTATGAGCCAACATTATGTATATTTGCAGTCAAATTTGTTTGAAAATAAAGATAAACAAAAACACCATGTTATTCACTCTGATTCATTTCACTCTCATTCATCTCATATTTCAAATTTTTGTTGGAATTTATTTCCATACATCTCATATTTCAAACGCTTTGCTGGAAGTTGTACCCAAGGTACATGTACATGTACATGTAAGTACATGTGAAGAATACATACATATATGAATGATTAAGATACCAAGAATTTTTCTAGGTTTTCATCAGACCACAGTTTTAATGCCTGATGGAAATCAAACACACTTCTGGAAGGTCTTTCGGCAGGAAACCTCATCAGGTCAGACAGTGTTTCAGGTTTAACTTTGAGGTTGCACCATTTTGATGCAAGCATAAAATCATGTGGAGACTAACCGTACTTATTCATGTTCAAGGCCTGGGACCTTAAGTACAATGTAAGTACATGTGAAGCCCATGAATACCTGTTCACGGGCCTACGCTCAACCGGACTTGGGCCGCAACTTTTTTTAGCTTGCCCGATTGGGTTCAAACCTTGTACATGTAGATATCTTAGAAGGGGAGTGCTTTAGACAAATATTGACCTGATGTGACGATGACGTCATCATGTGACAAGTCACGTGACATTAAAGGTACATTCTTGAAAGCACTATACCTCATGAAGCACATATCTGATTGGGTTGAAACCTTCCTGATATCTTAAATGGGGAGTGCTTTAGACGACTATTAACCTCATGTAATGATGACGTCATCAGGTGACAAGTCACGTGACATCAAAAGTGCAGTTTTCAAAGCACAGTATCTCTTGAAGCACGTCATCTTTTGTTCAAACCTGTATATGTACATGTAAGTGTGTGAATAAAAATATTTTAAAGAAATTGATGATATGCCAACAAGGCACTTTTTTTTAGAACAAAAAGGGAAAAAGCCCTGTGTTCTGTCCTTGTGACAGACACAGAACCTCTAGTTTCTCTTCCTTTTTCAAACTTTCTCCACAGAGTTTGCACGTCTTTTTGTTCCTTAGGACTTCGATAGTTTCATACATCTGATCGACTTCAAACTTGGCAGACCTTCAGACAATCATCCAAGAATGATGATACAGAAGTGTATTTTACGAGATCTCATGATCACATCTTGTGATGAAATGGCGCATTTTGTTCCTTATGAACCTACAATGTACATGTAGCTTTCCAGCAGTGGTCAACATTTTGTTGGCCAGTCGTCAAATTTGTACCAAGTATTTGGAAACTTAAGTATCGGAGGGAAAAGAATAAAATTAGAAGCTTTGCATGGATAGTGGTAAAGTGTATCAAAATAAAAAAGTTAATTCACGATGGCAAAAGTAAGTCTAACAGAGATTTTTCTCTATATCACAGCAATAATTTGTCTTTAATACGGACGATTCACAAGAGTTTGCAATGCATTGACCAATCACAATGCACAAAATCTGTTGACCCAATGTGCATTAGGAAAGGGTCGACAGATTTCGCGCATTGTGACTGGTCAATGCATTGCAAACTCTTGGAGGCGCACTATTGTGAAACACCCGTGTTGGAAGCAAAACACTACAACTGCATGTATTGCTAGGATATTACTAGCCTTGCGTGTCCAGCTAAGCTGCAGGCAGTAATCAGGCATTTTGGAATTTCTTCTATTATTCGTCTGACTGGGTGACGACAACGTCAATCATCAAGTACTTTGAAGTCACAGAGTTGCAACTCCTGTGTCCTTCCTATATAGTTACTAATACTCTATTGCGCCCTCACTTTATTGAAGTAACTCAGATGCAGAATAAACAAGTGTATTGTAAAGGGTGAAAGTAGTTGGGGACAGAAAGGTTCAAAGCTTCAACAGAATACCTGTATTGTGGGAAATGGAGGGATTGTTAGATTTGAAGAAATGTGGTCACTCCAGCTAAGGTGATCATTAATTAAGCACAACAACCTAGAATTTAGTACAGCGGATACTCGATATTGACATCATCTAGTAAAGGAGGGCAGGGCAAAGGGCATCAGAAAAACTTATCTTAATCTAACATATCTGTTACCGGTATCTTACAAACAGTTAGTCTTGAGACAATTTGTTTGCTTTAAACCAGGAAGAAACTTTGATAAATTCTGTTTTAACACTTACAATTCCAATAGAGATTGGCCAACTTGGCCCTTGGTCATATTTGGCAAAGTTGTAGGCTACAGCGCCCTCACACTGGCAATGAAGGAGAGCCTGTGCACAGTGAATATGTACATGTGCGGTACTTCCATTTCATACACATGACAAGACCTTTGATGTAATCATAAGTGTGTTGGCCAATTTGTTCCAAAGTATAAATTCTCCCAAAACTCACATGCCAAACAATGCATGTAGCTATTGTTTGGCATGCACAAGGGTTTATCCATTATGAACACAGGTCGAGGGTTCCCCTTGTTTTCTCTGTTTTCTCCTAAATGGCGCAATCTATATTCCGAATTAGCATCTTGGCTTGAACAGAAAAAAGCCCTTTGTAGCTTGTTATAGTTGAAGTCTGAAGTCAAGTGACACTGCGTTCGATTTGGATGCTTTCATTTTTATTGGAGCAGAGAAAATAAGAGAAAACATGTTTTACTCAGAGGTATCTCTATGCTGAAATTGAAGTTTGCAGTTGTTTGATGTACTTGCTTCAACTTACATTACCCATTTTGGAAGATGAAAGTAGTATAGACCAAAGTACAGACCCAGTGTATCTGTTACTGAAGCACCGACCTACGTGTACATGTAAGAAAATCATATTGAGGATTTCATTAAGTGAAAAAACAAACCACACTCTTACCCTAGCACACCTTATCCCAAAGTTATTTGGATTTTTGAACTACAGGTATCCTGCAGCTGCTTTCTTTCACCTCTTCTTCAGAGTTGGGGCACTAGTGTCCTACCTCTTCTGCAACCTCTACAGCAACAGCTTCATTGTGGATTTTGTTGTCATCCTCTTCTTTGTCTCGCTGGATTTCTGGACAGTCAAGAACATAACAGGTCGCCTACTGGTGGGCTTGCGCTGGTGGAACCACATTGATGACGATGGGACAAGCCACTGGGTGTATGAATCGAGAAAGGTGAACCTACCTGTACATGTTGGTCAGATATGATGCAGAAAAAAGTACTATTTAAATATTTGTATATTAGTGAAAGAAAGAATTTTACCAGAGGGGGTTTGGACCTGCAACCTCTGGAACACTTAGCCAACTCTCTACCATCTGAGCTGTCTAGCCCTATGTCAGTGGTTCCTCCCAATTATCAGTATTTAAGTTCAGATATCCATATCAGAAGCCATACACTGTGCACCTACATAGATGTAGGTTTTATTGCTTCTGACTCCTGGTAACACCCTAAATCTTTAGTGTTAACCATGCAGGCATTGGAAAAAATTATTTTATTGGTTATTGTCTGATGACTTGACTCCTAAAGTGGTATGCATGTTGAACTGTTTAACAGATTTTAGCACGATACTCAATGAGTTACCACAAAAGATGGTATCAACCTAGTGCAAGATGTGTGAAGCATTAAAAGAATTGCCCAAGCATGTCAGGTTTGGAAACTGATCCTAACACCAATCTGCACCTGCACACTGCTGAAACATTTAGCGGATTAAGCTTTGATTATAATAGTTTACATATTTCTCTCAATATTTGGCTCCCCAGGGATCCAAGAAGAACACAGAAACAGCCACAGAGTCACGGTTATTCTGGCTGGGCCTGGTCATCTTTCCACTTATGTGGGTCATCTTTGTATTCTCCAACCTGTTCACCTTTAGATTCGCATGGCTGGTGAGTTTGGCAAAGGAGAAATATATTGCTTTTGACACCATATTTTGTGGTCAAGGACCTGCAAATATGGTTTTAAAAACCCACTCAAAGGGTGTGGAAAAAACCCATAATTGAATTTTACCTTGTACTGGAAAGTGATATCTGAAAGTTCCCTGCAGTGGCTTTGTTGCTGCTTTTCACGTTTATGTAGGCTTGTAACGCGAAATTACGAATAAAAAGCAATGGTTTGGTGTCCCCGTTTTGTCTCCTCAAAAAAATTTTTAATTTCACTCCCAGAGGGTGCTACATAAAACAACGTCCCTGGTTCCCTGCTCAAAACCAACATGAACACGGTATGAAGTACGAAAACCCGCATCAAGTCATGATGCCTGGGTGGTACTTGTTGTGGTAATGTGATCATCGCGATGCGCTAGTGATAATGCATACACATGAATGAAGATGAAATTAATTTCATGATTTTGATTCATTATTAGGGTGTAGGTCTAACGTTAGCACATTTCAGGATGCCCAGAAATTGTGTGGTTGGTGGACGCAGAAGAAACAAGTTTCTTTCAAATTCCCGAAAAATGACTAAGTTCGTAGGGAGTGGGATCGATTTGTCTCCACCACTTGTGCAAATTTTAAGTTGTCGGATGTGACAGAGTGGTCTATAATATGCAACAAGTACATGTACTTTAATGAGGACTGCCAAGAACAGTTGTCTCGGGTGAAGCAACAGCTTGGCCTGAAGACAACTTTTATGCTCAAGGAGGAAGCAGTATCCAGGGTTAAATCACCAACTGGCACTACCGATGATGCTAGACAGTCTCGTCCTGCTGCCAGGTATTCGAGAGAGGCCTATGAGAAGAGGGAGAAACAAAGGGTAGGCCTAGGGTCAAGGCAGGCCCACATTGTCTCTTGTCTTTTGGTATTCCCCTTTTTTTTCATGTAAACACTTATGAATTATCTATTTGTATCAAAAGCAAGTAATGGTTTAAAGGTTTCTAGTTTGACAGAAGTATCATTTTGGGGGTCAGTAGTAGGCAAGGGCATAGGGCCTTTGATATTGGCAATTTATAGATCTAGGCCTAGGCCTGAACACTGGGTAGGCCTACATGTATCTGTGGAAATAGAATTTTTATATGAATGATTCAAAAACTCAGGCCTAAGACGGGGCCATGGAGAGGGCCGGCACAACGTTTCCAGCTTTTGTGGTGGTGGTGGAGGAACATAAATCAAAATTCTGAAGTTACTCGTACTCCTAGGCTATCTGTTGTCATCATGAAAATTCTTTTGAAAGAGATCCATATATGGACAAGTGTTTTCCAAGTAAATGCTTGGGAATTATCTCGGCTAAATTTCAATTTGGGGGATGTTTTATGACTTTTTGATGGCTGTTTTAAGGGAAAATTAATGTTGTCCACATATGGAACTCTTGGTTACAGCAAACAGTGTCTACACTGCACGTACATGTTTTCACATAAAATGATGTGTTGTAAATACTGCTAATCTTTCAATCAAAAAATTTATGAGTGTGCACCTGATAATATAGTAATGTGGAAACCATCATGAACGCTCCGTTTATAATATAATGCAATGAAGTTGAATACATTCAGTCGATGGTAAGCGGATTTATTTTCATGTATTTATAAAATACAAGGTTCAGCGTGCATACTTCTTAGTTTTACTTGTACGAGTTGAACCTTTTCCTGAGTTTTGATGTAGGCCTACTAAAAAGAACAACCAAAAACACACTTTTGTACTGTACATGTAGGCCTCCATTGTGTACAGCATACACATACGCAGCGCTTGGTTCGCATCACGTCATATCGCAGTTGATGAGTACCACCTCATACGTCATTGTTCATACATGCATGTTTGTAAATATACTAATAACAACTCCTTCGTTTTCCAAAAAGGCAGCTTCAGCCTGAACAGAAAGACGTGAGAAAACAACCAAGATGTATTTTTTTCAAATATATGTCATTATTTGACATATTTTATTTGACATTAAAATCATATTATAAAACACATTTTGAATGGGTCTTTAAAAAGTCTCTTTTCAAGATTTGTATGCGGAAAATCTCTTGTAATATCCACGTAGGGTAGAAACTTGTGTGTTACCTTAGATTTAAGTTATTGTGTGGGGTATAGTTATTCATAGCATGGAGCTATTAAACACAAGGAGTCAGCACATACAGAGATCAAAAGGGTCAATGATGGCCACCGCCATCACTGTACATGCTGCAAGGACAAAACAAATTCTGCACTGCTTATGGGCTGGAAGGAATGCTCCGAGTCACATTTGCAAAGGATCGTGGGTACCATGCATGCGTGTCTGTAACACTTCAGCATGTTCAATATGGCCGCCTTGAGACGGAAACCATCATCATGGGAGACTTAATGACAATGGAAGTCTGGTTAAGTCTTTACTTCCCCAAAACATCTCTCTTAACAATAAACAGAATTACTAAGTAATACAAATTTTCCAAAAAATATGCACAAGAAAACTGAGAGAATGTAGCTGGTCCAGAGGAAAATAAAAAACACAGAAAAACATGGGAAGATTCGTTGTCCTTTCTGTCATTGTCCACAACTGTGTCGGCATGAAACCTCACCACGTTGTCAAATGCATCCCTGCGGCATGTTTCCACCTTCTTTTAACCATAGGAACCACTAGGATTGTGACTTATGATAAATATCGCAGTTCATACTTGGGTATTTGTTCTCTATCTCCAGAAACACAAAATGTCATAACTGACTTTAAAAACGTCCGATTTTTGCCAACTTTTGATTTGTAATTTTCGAGCACATCTGCGGAGATCACTCGCTGACTCCTGAGGACTACTGAAGAGAAGTGTGCATCTTTTTCGTGCATCTTTTCCACCATTTATTTACTCTAGTATGCCGCAGCGAAAGATGGCGAGTCTTTGGGTTACCAGCTACTTGGCGGTGGCAATCACTGTGTACAAAAATGTCTACGGTCTTCAACAATGGAGCTGGTAACTGCACTTTGTCTGTGAAGCCGACAAGAGCAGTTAATCAGATTATGGTCTGTAGGGACTTCGTTCTAACTCCTTGTGTTTGATAGCTCCATGTTCATATTACAAGTTACACCAGCTGAAGAGAGGGCTTCTGCAGCACGATTATGATCAGGGAGAGTTGTTTTTTCCAAAAAAATGTGTGATTCCCGATCTTTCAGATGTCACTAATTTGTAAAGTTCTGGAATTTTAGAGGTTTGTTCATTCAGGTTTTCCTACTGTTCTGCACTTCCTACTTTGTACACAGAAACTATATAAAATTTATATATGTGTAATCATTGTCATTAGGGTCATAATGATTCACTGATCCATTGATACTTGCAATACTGAAATTCCACCATGCAGTATTGTGATACAAAACTGTGTATCATGATTCTTCAGTGGTGGGGCTAATACACTTGAATGGGAGGGAAAATTACAGTAAAGGTGAAAATAAAGTTGAAGACAAAACAAGCTGTTTACAAGGTTGTATTTTGGGTGTAAGGCTTAATTATGTGGTCTAACATTGCCTCTTAACCAGTGTAAAATGGGTTATGGAAGGGTAAAAATGCTGAATCATACCATGTTCATGTACCACATAATGCAGCCCAGTATATGGAAGACTTACAGTCGCCCCATCTTCGCTCCAATTTAAAGCGGAATTGCTGTGCTGATATGTCTGGGAAAAATCAAGTTGGTTGTTCATTTGAACCATAGATCAACATTCAAATGAAGTCCAGTACAGTACCAACAATTAGTTCTTTGTGAGTGACTCCCTGTGAACATTGCGCCTGTTTGGCGTGGGTCCTGTTTGTAATCAGTGATCAGATGTTGGTTCACCCAACACAAGTACCTGCCTTGTGGATGGAGCAAACCAGCATGGAGATCACTGATCAAGATCCTCATCCATTTGAAATAAACAAGCCCATTCCGCCAGGCTTTTTTCAGGGGCACAACGTTAATTTTCAGTGTATATTTCTGGACTGGTCCTGTGTGCAGCATTGATGTCTTAAGTGTGTATCTTGCAGTTGCACAGCCCATGGCAGCAAGTTGGTTACCAGTATCCTGGACTTGTTATTTAGTTCAATTTCCGAATAGCATTGAGCATACTGAAGTTAAACCTGGCATAAATGATCCTGAAGCAATTTTTTGTGTGTTCAAGACCAATCCAAAGTAAAACCCTTGTCCTCCTCGGAGAGTTTATCTCTATTCAAAAGCTGATTTTGATAGAGTGAGGGAAGATACGGTGATCTTTAAGGATAACTTTGAAGCTCACAGTGAAAGATCTGCTGAAGCAAATTGGACCGCATTCAAGTCCAGTCTTTTATCTGCTAGAGATGTACTCATTCCCTCTCAGATGTCAAAACGACAGCAGAATGTGCCGTGATTCCACGGTAAGATCAGAAAATTAATTAGAGTTAGAAATAGAATTAAAAAAAGCCAAGAAAACTGCCACATCAGAGTCATGGGAGAAATTTAGGGCAGCTAGAAAGTTTGTCAAACAGTAACTTAGATATGCACACTTTGACAACTTGAAGGAGAACTCCAGATGGTTTTGAAAATTCATTAAAAGCAAGAGGTCCAAGAACTAAGGTTTACCCGCTCTGAGAACTGATGGAGTCAATCATGTTACCAATAAAGAGAAAGCCTATGCTTACGCCAAGCAATTTAAATCAGTTTTCACCAGAGAACATGTAGATAAGATTCCTTATTATTTATTTGTCATACCCATTGTGGAGGATATCACCGTTTCAGTGGAGGGGGTGTTGAAATTGCTTAAAGAAATCAACATTACTAAAGCTAGTGGCCTTATGATATTAGCCTCAAGCAAAACCAGTTTTGACAGCTAACGAATGGGCTGAGGCAGTAAATGCAGGTAAACAAGTGGATATAGTCATATTTGATTTCTCCAAAGTATTTGATACTGTCCCCCATGAGCGTTTGAAAGCTGTTTCATATGTATGGAATATGTGGGAAGCTACTGAAGTGGTTTGCCAATGTAAAACAAAGAGTGGTGTTCAATGGATCTAGTTCTGATTGAGATTCTGTGGACTCTGGTGTGCTCCAAGGCATAGTCCTTGGCCCTCTTTTGATTTTTGTTTGTATCAACAATATCACAGATAATCTTCAGTCAGAAATTCGTCTTTTTGCTGATATTCACAACCGGGCTGATTGTATCACATTCCAGGAAGATATTGATAAACTCCACGAACGGGCCACTATATGGCAAATGCAATTTAATATAAAGAAATGCTACATCATGGTCTTTGGTTTGCTGTGTAGAAATTTAAGGCAGTGCTCAAAAATGACAAAAACAAGTGCTTATTTAGTACTCATTTGTCCACACCTGGAGTATGCTTCAGTAGTATGCGATCCCTTCGAGGCTTAATACATCAATAAGCTGGAGATGGAAGAATGACGTGCAGCATGCTTTAGAAGAGAGGCTAGTGTGACTGATACAATCACAAACCTTGGGTGGGATAAACTAAAACAGCGTCTCGAAGTTGCTAAATTGATCATGATGAAACAGATGTATTTATGAGTGTATCTGCTATTCCGAAGCCTATTGTCAAGCATGCTTCTGTAAGACCACATTGAACAATTACTGGAAATAGTTCTCAACTTGATTTGCCACAAAGCAGAACTGAAGCACACAGAAACTTCTTTGTACCCAGAACATGTAGAGATTGGAACGGACTTCCTGATATAATAGTCTAACAATTTCAATTGTCTCTTTTGGGGATCAAGTTCTCAAGTTTGTCAGATCCAGGGATAGGAACTTAAATTAACTTTGTGCCTCTCTGTCTTCTCCCTCAGCTATAGGGAACATGCAGTGACGTGTTAGCTGTAACCATGCCGCCATTTTAGATGGCAACGACGTACATACACACACAACGTTTAGTAGTATCACGAGTGTAAGTTTGCTACATTGTGTTTTCATCCTACATTGCCTACGTTATCGCTGAAATATGTCAAAATGAGTGTTTCCTTGTCAAATGATACGTTATCAAAGTATACTGAGAGTTTAGATGGTGATTTCAGGGATCGGTATTTGAGTAAATGCTCATGGATCAAGGTGCAGGACCTGTACAATTTGCCCGTGAGTATTTTCAAGAATCTGCAAAGCTTCGGTTTCGGTGGGCATGGCGGAAGGCCTTCCGGACGTTGCCTATCACAATGTCTACAATTACCTGGTTCATCAACAGTCTTGCTACACAGGAAAAGAGCTGAAAGCCTACAAGAGTTTGGAGGCTTACAAGTATTTTGTGGCTGGATGGGTCTCCAGTATCCAGCTGTGGAAAGTTCCTCACAAGCTTGACAAGGCGAAGTATTTGGTCATGTCAAGGGTATGTTCATGTTGTAACGTTAGGCCTGGGTATGATACTGTGATAGGCCCTAGCATGTCTAGGGGTATGATTTGCATTACACGACCAGCACTAATTTTCCTTGTACATGTAGTGACCTATCAGATATCAAAAACTCATTAACTCGCCGTAAAAGTCAAATTTAGGAATGAAAATTCATAGGTTTTGTGCATATGGTGTCAAGTGCCGGTCGTGTATGGAAATCTTTCCGGCTATGCCTATCATTTTTTGAAAAAATTAATAGGCCAAGTTGACAATTTCTTTAGAATTTCCAAAGTCTGTTTTTCATTTCGAGGAGTTGATTCCATGAATTCCGTCTCATTTTTCCTCTATAACAAAAAATCATTGGCCCTAGTTGTACAGCTTCGGACGACTCGTACTTAAGCATCTCCTACCTTTGCCAACTGGTACCTTTGTCTTTGACAACTCGTACCTTATGTTAAGCAGTGCGGCTTGACAAGTCATACATGCTGACTAAACGACTTGACTTACTGTAGGCGGGATGGTACAAGTCGTTGTGCAAGGTACGAGTTGTCCAAGGTACGAGTTGTCCAAGGTACGCGTTGCTGTTCCGCATAGTACGAGTTGAGGAAAGAGTTTCATGCATGACTGTCATTTGACCCCCTGTGCACAATCCTACATGTATGAGACTTGTCTGAAAAATTCTGTTTCCTTAGAAAATGTTTCAATATTTTCACTGCTAAACTTGACTTTTAAGTTTTAAGACATGGTAGTGAGTTTTTACGTGTCTTGATAGGTGACTACAGGGAAAATAAGTGACAGTCGTGTGTGAAAATCTTTACTGAGTTGACCTGTTCCCCATTTTACATGCACGTTTTGTATCAAATCAAGCTCCATGCCTGACCTGACCCTACTGCAAAGTGAAACATTGTTTATTTTATTTTATGTATTTTTTTAGGTTGCACATTCCCAATCCATCTCATCACCACCCCTGAAATCCTAGATCATTGTGGAGAAGGATGGCACGTTGAGACGGCCCACTGCACATGTATGGCGGGACTGGGCGAAGCCTGCAGCCATATAGCCGCAACCCTCTTTGCCATTGAGGTTGCAGTAAAGATGCTGAGGGAGATAGCATGTACGTCACTACCCTGCACATGGTTGGAGCCTTCAGGGGGACACATGAATTTTGCTGAGGGAAACGAGATTGACTTCACAAGCCCTTCATGTAAGAGGACATTAACAATGTGTCAGGAGGGAAACTCTCCAAAAAGAACCGTTCAATCCAGAGACATTCCAGTGCTTACTTTTGAAGAAGCGAGTATTTTGTATGATGCCATCAAGGCAACTGGGGTTAGAAGTGCCATTCTGGCTGTAGTCCCAAAGTATGCAGCAGAGTATATCCCTAAGGCAATCACCTTCAACTTGCCAGAACCGCTGTCACAGCTGTACAAGGATGAATGGAGCAAGCTGTCCTACCAGGAGTTAGCTAAAGTGTGCAAGGATGTCTTCTTCAGCATCAGAGTAACAAAGGAACAGGTACATGCATGGATTGGCATGTTGTCAATAGTCAAATGGGAAAGATTTCCATATACAACTGTTACTCATTTTCCTCCATAGTGACTTACAAGCCCCTAGATAGTCATTACATATCATCAAAGTCAATTTGAGCAGTTAGAAAATGTAAGCATTTTCTTACCAAACACTTAGGAATTGTCAGACCCGTCTCATAGTCTCGTAGTATATCCATGGAACCATTTCAGGGAATTCTGGAGTTGAGTCAAGAATTGCAGTTGTCTTCACGTTTGCTTAGACAGTTTATTGTACATGTACATATACGACGTAAATACATGTGTAAACTATTCTTTACTAAATGAATGCTGCTAAATTCACCACTTCACAAGCAATTCATTTACATTTGTTTTTTATTACTCAAGCCTTTCTTGTTAACCCTTTCGACGTCCATTCAATTAAACAAGAATTTGACATTTCCATCATTTCTGTTTTTCTTTGTGTACTTCTTTGTCTAGCTGGTTCTCGGCAAAGAATGTGTTACAAAATTCCCTCCTTAGTCAAAAGGCACAACTGATTCGGAAAGGTTCGTAAGTGCACAAGGTATACAGACTATTTTGTCAAGTGTTTTTAGATTATGTTGGTCACTAAGCAAATACGTGATTGGAACAGTTGATTGCAGCATAGTGTATTTTTGCCTCGTGAGACCAATCACACGCTCCACGTGGATCCTTTGGGAAGCAAGAACTCGTTTGGCCCCCACATCCAATGGCCTCAACTGTTTTTTGCCCTTTGTAAAGGCAGGCATTTTAAGGGTGGCATTAAATAAGCCAACAGAATCCCCAACATCAAAGCCTGTCGGGTAAGATAACATCACCTGGAATCAATTTGTCCAGAAATCCACAATTATTTGTGATGTATTTATCACTTGCCCTCCCTTCCTTAGCCTTTCAAAATGTAAGAAATACAACCCTGAGGTGTGATGCCAATCAGATACTTCATGGTATTGTGTGATTTGTAGTTGGAGTGTGTCTGTGCCCTAGCTTTTAGATCACTGGCTCTCTATAAAAATTTCAAAACAGTCAATGATACATGCACCATGTTTGAATGTCTTTTGGAATGACATTGGCATGGACATTCTGAACTGCTCACGGTCAGGCCACATTACTAAAGCAGGCACCAAACGACGGTCCATAACATGAATGACATCATTAAAACCCC